GTTTCCATAGACTTCATCTGTGATGAGAAACAATGTGAGCCGACGAGGAACTAAACCTGTGTGGCATTCTGGCCAAAACTTTGCTTGTATAACCCCACCTGCTTTCCCATCAGTCTTTGGGTCCATGATGACAAATTCAGGGCGAAGTTTGCTAATCCTACGGCCTTTCAGAATAGGCACAAGCCCCCCCAGATACTCCAGGTATAAGGTGTAGCAAGGGCCGCCGACCTCAGGGTTGTCCTCGGTGCGCTTCATGGTGCAGTGCAGACGCTCGTTACCTGATGTCGGATAACTAACAAAGTCCCGCATGTTGTTGGGATCCGGGATGGGGGGCTGAAGTGAGGAAAGGGCGCCAGAAAAAAAGACAAATGGAAGAATGGGAATGATGGTATGAACGTATTACACAACCAGCAGTTTCAAAAACAAGATCCAACTGCCTGTAATCTGGAAGTTTTCTACCTTAATGGTAGAAGCGAAGGCAGAGGACACGTATGTGCTCAGACGAGAGGGCATGCTGAGCTTGGCCACATCTTTCTCCTCGTGTACCGTGCTGGCGATCACCTGTCGGCACAGCAGCTGCAGGCTGGCGACCCGGTGTTCGACGCGAAGCACGTACAGCGCTGGGCCGCTGGCGAGAAACAGACGCGAGTCCCGATGGCCCCAGCACAGCGCACTGATCGGCCTCTGAACACAGATGCAGAAACCAACGGAATATCAATGAAGCAGTCCTGTACGTTTCATCTCTGTGAAATTGTCACATTTATCAGAGTTTTATGAGGGTAAATTTAAGACCTTTTTAAAAACCAAGAAAATGTGTCAAACAATAAGTAGTAGCACTTCAAATACTGAAAATACAACTTCCAACAGATCTTTATTCATTTTTAATTAATTTGACAAAAAACGTTCTTAAAGGGTTAGTTCACCCAAAAATGAAAATTAGCCCATTTACTCACCCTCAAGTCATCCTAGGTGTATATGACTTTCTTCTTTCAGATGAATCCAGTCGGAGTTATATGAAAAATTGTCTTTGATCTTTCAAGCTGTTTCATGGCACTCAGCGGGTGTTGCATGCATCAGTCCAAAAGAAATGTAATAAAAAGCGCCCATCCAGAAATGAGGTCAGCGTTGCGCATGCGCCGCTCAGAAGTGACGAACGTGGAAGCGCAGCGGAGAGATCAAAACAAAACAATGGTCACTTATTAGAAGTACAAAATGAGGATTTGAAAAGAAGAATCTCAGAGGATTGCGATACAAGCCAAGAGGAGACTGGTTTTCCTTTGCTAAAGTAAGGAAACTTTGCTTCCTTTGCTCCTGTTAGCAAACGTTGGTTTTCACGAGACTCTCCGGCGCATGCGCAGCGCTGACCTCATACGTCATCTGCCCGGAGCTGCTTCTGTGTACAACCAAAGCCAGTACTTTGTCTGCTTCCTACCAGCCGAGAGCCGTATGAGACACTTTTTTATGGATGGGCGCTTTTTATTTCACTTCTTTTGGACTGATGCATGCAACACCCGCTGACTGGCATTAAACAGCTTGAAAGATCAAAGACAGTTTTTAATATAACTCCGACTGGATTCGTCTGAAAGAAGAAAGTCATATACACCTAGGATGCCTCGGGGATGAGTAATTTATGGGCTAATTTTCATTTTTGGGTGAACTAACCCTTTAAGGTCTCATGAGCTCTGCTGCCAAACAGTACAGGAATAACTTTTACTGTACCTTCTGATCACACTGAATAAAGTGAAGCTCTTCATCAGTGTTTTTGTCTTGCTTTCCGAAAGATTCTTAAAGTGCCCTGTTATTGCAGTGTGTAATGTAGCTGTATGTGATTGTAAACGATCTGCAAAGTTGTAAAGCCGAAAGTGCGCGATAAATAAAAGTTATTGTCTCCCAAAAGAAAGGATCGACTCTGAACAGCCGAAAGCTGTTTCAGCATTTCATGCCATGACTTCATGAATTTAAGACTTTTTAAAGACTGTAACAAAACAGTTACAAAAACAGTTACAGCGTAACAAAAGCAAGAGTGCTCTGGTATTATTGTGTGTGTGTTTATGAGCAAACGCTCACCTGAGCAGGTGTCTCCAGTGAGTAAATGTGCTCACCGCAAACATTATAAAACTTAACGATGGCGTTTCGGGTGGCTTGGGTGGGGTCAGAGGTCATCACGAGTCTCTCCATCCCAGCAACAGCCAGCAGGTCGCCCTGAGAGCACCACTGCACCACCACATCTGATTCATACACACGCAAACCAGTGTGAAAATCAACTTCATACATAATTTCACTATCAGTAAAAAACGTTAGAGCTTAGTAATGATAATCACTCACATATTCATACATAGCATCACTAATGATTCAGCAAATATTGATTCGTTTAGACTGTATTGGTTTCCCCACCTCTAACAGACTCATTATAGGAAATTAATTAGCATTGCAATAGACTGCGGCTGAGTACTGGACGGGGTTATCTTTCACGTCTGAACAAAAACACACAAGGCTTACATATAAACACCGATTCAGTCTAAAGTGGAAGTAAACAGTTGAGAGAGAAACGAATGCGTGCAGCTCTTAAAGTGACAGCAGTCTAATAGCTGCCGCTTGTCCTTAAAGGGATAGTTCACTATTCACTCACTCTCATGTTGTCCCAAACCTGTATTAATTTCTCTGTATAAATTTTTTTTTGGGTGAACTGTCCCTTTAAATGTTAATAAAACAACAAAACACAGAGAAAAATCACTGGCTGCTCTTGCTTGAATAAGAATCAGTGTATAATTTATATTATATGAAGTGTATATAGTGTTTTAGTCTTATATTTGTTCATCTAAATACACCTACTGTACCTGAAAAATAAAGCACTGCTTGTTTTATTTCTAATGCGTGTCTTTCTTCTTATTTTTTTAAGAACAAAGATAAAATGATGACAATGATTTTTATCTTCGCCCACTTTGGCCTAAACATCTGCCACTCTTTTTTATTTTATATTTTGTTACCTTATAAGGCTTTGTTTTTAAAATGGGGAAATCAGTTTGGCTGTGCTGCTAAATAAAACCAACATGACAAAGAGTCGCGATAAAATCGTGATTTTCCAGAAAAAAATTGTGTTGATATTTTTATTATAAAGCGGAGAGTTCCGGTGCTTGACTCTGATTGGCTGAGCCGCGTTCGAAGCTGTTGTAAATGACGCTACAAAGTAACACACACCTTTGTTTACGTCTGTGTGTTGCTCGGCAACCACTTTGTAGCAACCACAACTGTTTCTGAGGAGCTACATTGTTTGGTGGAAGAATACTGTGTTTATTAATATCATTACATTTTATTTGCTCCGTTTTATTTTGTGAAACCTTACTACGTATATGGAATAATACAAGTTTTATAAAAGCAATAACCCCCGTGAAGCCATGGTCTACAGTGAATTTATAACAGCTAAATGGGTTTTAGACTTAAATTCACTGTAAACCACGGCTTCTCGGGGGTTACTGCTTTAACATATCGCCCAGCCCTACTTGTAAGAATATAGAAACAGAAATAATACGAGGAAGAACCTTTGAGGCCGGTGCGTATTAACGTGGGTGAGAGGTCATCGTAGTTGCTCATCAAACTGACGTCTCCAGACGTGAAGCAGACGGTCAACAGCGGCTTCAGACGGTGCACTGGAAGAAAAAGAGTGTCCTGTTATTGTGAATAACCAGCAGGGCTCATCCTAACCCAGCGGTGCATTATTTACAGGGAGAACTGCTGCTGCTACGACCGAAGAAAGACCGGATCATGATCACTCGGATGAGCAAACACAAGATCAATATGCATCTGAAGAGAGCCATTGAAACAGCGGTTACCCTGCAGAGGCGTGTAATCGTCCGAGTCCGTGTCGCTCTCGCTGCTGTCCTCCAGCAGAAAGCTGGGGTAATTCCAGGCCATGCTAGCGATGCCCTCCGCCTCGTGCAGCAGTATATGAGCCAGCATCCGGCCGTGACAGTCCATGACGATCACCTGCCCGTCCGCTGTGCCAAACAACACCTGACGAGCAAAACTAACCCTTAATGAGACAAACTGTAAGACTTCTTAACAGAAAAGTGAAGCCTTGGCTTACAGTGAATTTATAACAGCTAAGAGGGTTTTAGGCACTCCGCTTCAACGCCCCTTAGCTGTTATAAATTCACCGTAAACCTCGGGTTCTTGGGGCTTATTGCTTTATTTTGAATTCGTTTTTAGATTTAAGATAAGACTTAAATACGCCATCATATCCGATGTGTGTCAGTAAACCTGCGGTCACCTGCTGGTCGTCGGGGGTCCAGATCCCACAGGTGATCTGAGACTCCAGGTTGATCTCCGAGGACCAGTGGCGCTGACCGCTCACCGAGCCCACCAGCACGAAGCCGTCGCGGTACGAGATCAGCGCCTGCATGCCGTCGTGAGACCAGGTGAAGTCGCTCACCTGCGCAGGTACAGCAGGTTAAACACCGCGCCTCGTTTGAGGAACATCACAGGAGCTGTCGGACGGCTCACCTGAGCTCCGCGGTCATTGACCAGCTCCACTGACCAGCGGCCCTCATACTGGATCCAGACGAAGATCCCGCCGTCGGTGTCGCAGGTCGCCAGCTTCTGGAAGGGCTCGTTCCAGCGCACCAACACCACCTGCGAGAGCAGCACAGAAAACACTCACTCGTCTGATTTCTAACCAAACCGTACGCGTCGGACCACACAGCTGCTTCCCAAACAATCAGACGAATGGACTGCAAATATTGATCGTGAGAGTGTGGAGCGATACGAGCAACTATAAACACGAGACGATATCATATTCACTGACAGCTCCATTAAGAAGGTTTCCCGCAGCGTTTGACTTTTACAATCGCTGGAATTAATAGATTTAAATAACTCTTTAGCATTCAAAAGGTCATTTTATAAATGCAATATGCAAATTTGAAGCGATTCAAGCCATTTATTTGACACATTTTAGAACCAAGCTAAACTTAAAATAAAAACGTATTCACAAGAGATCGACCAATATGAGCGAGCGGGTGAGTGATTTATTTTTTCAGGTCTTCAAATCACAATCTCAAAAAAAAAAAAGTTATGTTAATGTTTAATTCAAATGTATTTTTCCCTAGCCTTTTTTAATTATATTTTTGGCATATTTGAAGCAAATTTATTAGTAAAATAAGGTGTGAAATGTATATTTCTCATGATGGTGAGCGATCAGTAATGTGACGTCAGAGCCGTTCCCTTCTCACACACACACACACACACACACACACACACAGAGACACACACACACACAGAGACACACACACAGAGACACACACACACACACAGA